TTATTATTATTATTATCATTGCTGTTGTTGTTGTTATTATTATTATTATTAATATTATTATTATTATTATTATTATTATTATTATTATTATTATTATTATTATTATTATTATTATTATTATTATTATTATTATTATTATTATTATTATTATTATTATTATTATTATCCCGACGGGCATGATGTGTACTGCCTGTCTCGCCCGTTTACCCTTTTCTATGATTTACGAAAATATTTTACGTTATCTTATTTTGCTGTTACTAATGTTTATAGCATTATAGTAATTATAATGTTTATAATAAAAATAACACGGCACTAGTAAAAAATACATTTTTCCCGCCAATGCAGGTAAGGTCACAAGGTTTACTTATTGACTCGTTTGTGGCCTAGCACTAGCAGAGCCATCTATGTGCAGAGATATTTCACAAAAAAGTGCTATTCTACTTGTTATTATTATTATCATTATTATTATTATTATTATTATTGTTATTATTATCATTATAATTATTATCATTGTTATTATTATTATCATTATTATTATTATTATTATTATTATTATTATTATTATTATTATTATTATCGTTATTATTACTGTTATCATTATTATTATAATGATAATAATAGTAATCATTATTATCATTATTATTATTATTATTATTATTGTTGTCATTATAACTATTATTATCATTATTATTATTACTATTATTTTTATCATTACTATTATTATTGTTGTTATTATTATTGTTATTATTATCATTAATATTATTATTATTATTATCATTATTATTTTCATTATTATTTTCATTATTATCATTGTCATTGTTATTATTATCATTGTCATTGTTATTATCATTATCACTATCGTCATTATTATTGTTATTATTTATCATTATCATTATAATTACTGTTACAATAATAACAATTATTATTATTATTATTATTATTATTATTATTATTATTATTATTATTATTATTGCTATCATTATTATTATTATTATTATCATTATTATCATTATATCATTATTAATATTATTACTAATAATATCATTATCATCATTATCATTACTATTAATATTATTGTTGTCGTTATTGTCATTATTATTATTAATATTATTATTATTATTATTATTATTATTATCATCATCATTATTATTATCATTATTATTGCTGTTGTTGTTATCATTGCTATCATTATCATTATTTTTATATTTTTTATTATTATTATTACTGTTGTTATTACCGTTATTGCTGTTGTTGTCATTATCTTTTATTTTATTTTATTATTACTATCATCGTTATTTTTCATTATTATTATTATTATCATTAATAGCATTAATAATATCATTCTAATTATTATTATTAGTCGTAGTTGGTTAGCATTGTTGTTATTATTGCCGTTACCAATGCTATTATCATCATTATTATCATCATTACTATTATTGTTACCGTCATCATTATCGTCATCATTATGATTATTATCAATAATAATATCTTTTTATTATTATTGCTACTATTTTTTTTTTGTTGTTGTTGCTGTTGTTGTTATTGTTATCATTATTATTATTGTTATTATTATTATTATTATTGTCATTATTATCATTATTGTTACTCTTATCATCACTTTTATTGGCATTATCATTGTCATTTACACCATTATTATTGTTATTATAATTATCAACTATTATTAACATTAGTTTAGCATTGTTATTATTATTGTTATTATTACTATTGTTATTATTATTATTACTATTATTATTATATTTAGTATTACTATTATTATTATAATTAGTATTACTATTATAATAAGTGATATTCTTATCATTATCACAGCCTTTATTGTCTTTGTTTTCTTTATCTATATATTATCTACTCGCTGGATCTTGGGTGCAGCTCTGCCAGCACGTGGCATTAGGCCTATTCGAGTGTGCGGCTTGTAGGCCTGACCCACACTAACACTTACGTAAGATATCTTTGCCTCTCCTGTGCAGTGTTATCATGTCATAAGCTTTTTTTTCTTCTTCTTCTTTTTCTTCATTTTGAAACTCTACAAAAATATATACTGTGTAGTGTGTTATTGTTGTTATTGTGCAATAACAACTGCAAAAAGTAACACAAATCGAACAAACGGATGGGCAAATCACAGGCAAAATCATTTGATTTATTACTAATATCATGTTTCAACATCATCTTCATGATTATTCTTATCACAATGATTACGGAGATTTTTAGTGTTAATATCAATTTCATCGACATTATCATTATCATGATAATAAGATATAATTGTTTATCACGTGATTACTTCTTTTTTCTTTGTTCTCTCTGTCGACCCTTAATGACCTCCCTAGTTTTGTTTATCAAATCTGATGATCTGATATAATTATCTCGGAATTATATTCTTTATTGTTAAACTAAATACTGATACAGGTTTTCACTAATATATTTAATTTCCTTTCTTTCTTTTTTTCTTGATTTTATTTTTTTTTCAGTTAACAGTAACAACGACAGCAATTTCTTCTGTGGAGGAGAGGCGAGGAGGAGAGGTGAGGAATAAGGACAATGAAAAAGAGGGGGAAAGGGGGAGGGAAAATGTGTGGATAGAAAGGAGAGAGAAGAAAAGGGAAAGTGAGAGAACGAGGTGAAAGGACAGGGGGGGTGTTAAGAGAAAAAGGAAGGAAAGGAGAGAGGGAGAGGGAGAAGGGAAGAGGAGATAGGGACAAAAGAAGGAAGAGGGGAGGATAAAAAAAAAACGGAAGAAGAGAGGTACTGTAGGGTAAGAACTATGGAGAGAAGGAGAGGCGAAGAGAAGAAGGGAGAGAGAGAAAAAGGGAAGGGATGGAGGATAGGAAATGAGGAAGAGGAAGTGAAGGGTGGGGGGAGGAAGAGAAGGAGAGGCGTGACCTACCGTTTCACATTCGCCCCCCACAACCGTGAAATATGAAGCTGATCCAAGACTGCTTCGTTTGCATAACAAGACAACTTCCCTCAGTCTGCGTGAGTGTTTGTTTGTTTGTTTGCCTTTGTGGAGAGTCTTGTGTTTTGGGTTGAGCTGTTTGTTTGTGTGTTTGTGTGTGTGTGTGTGTGTGTGTGTGTGTGTGTGTGTGTGTGTGTGTGTGTGTGTCTGTGTGTGTGTGTGTGTGTGTGTTTGTGTTTATGTATGCGTGTTTGTTTTCTTTGTATATGTTTGTATATTTGTTTGTGTGTGCAAGTGGACACGTATGTATTCAATTCGTAGTTGTTCAGCAGAAAAAAACAGATTTCTCAATACTTTAATGTGTTTTATTTCCGATATGATAACAAAGACTCTATCGTCTAACCGTGAGAATTTTCACAGCGAAATACTTTGCATTGAGAAACTGAACACCTGATGGTCTTTGGTAACGCTTATATCTTTTATTAATTCTTTCGTTTCTCTGTCTTTCTATGATAACTTATCTGTATCATAATTAATGCTTATTCAGTGAACGTAATCTCACCAACTTACATTAGTTGTGGGATAGTTCAAACGACATTTTTCATTTTGTTCTCGAGATATTAATGGTTATTCTATTAATAAACACTATTAATGATTTGTCTGAGAAAAAAAAACAAGGAGAAATGAACTGATAAAATTTTAATTATATGATAATGAGTTTCGAATATAAAGAAAGAAAAAATATGCAACATTAAACCTTTAAATAGTACATTCACTTATGAATAATAGTTATCCTTAAATCTATAAAAGTGTAGTTTACCATTGCTTTTATCATTTTCATTAGCAATTGAAAGAATCATGAAAAAAAAATCAAAGTGTTTATGTTTTACTACGTGGTAAGGTCTTATTACTCATCCATGTACTTATTTCTTAATTTACCTTTTTTTATTATCTATAATATTTCTTTATTTCTACAATAAATAACATTCAAATAAGATTTATCAGCAGTGTATAGAAGATAGATCATTGAGAAAGTTTTCTTTAGAGAGGAAAAAGCGTGGGTTCTTATTATATAAACTAATTAAACATGCAATAATTACGTAACTGAATGTACACATGCACACGAATATTCGAGCACGTGCTGGTGGGCGAGGGCGGCCGAGAACTCACTGGTTTGTGGTTCCTTGTTGAGTCCTTATTCAAGGGAGAAAAGTTGACTGATAGCTCTTCAGGCGCTCGGCAGAAGAGAGCGATACACAAGTTCTTGCTGCCTTGGCTAAAACCTCGAGTTAACATTAGATGTGGGCCTCGACTTCCAAGTAGCAGATGGTCTGTATGTTGTGGGGCTTAGTAGCAAATTAGAGCTCGAGCAACAACTTTAGATCTCGTTTTTTTCGATGTATCCAGTTGTTTTTGTGTTGTACTTAAGGTTACCACCTGTTTTTTTGGTTTATGTTACGTGGCCGTAGATAAAGAACAGATTTTAGAACATTTTACCTTATTTTCATTACTCCTTGGTCTTGACTATATTTTACATACTTTTACACGATACACCCATGCCAGAGACCAATATTCTGTTGTTATATCATACAAAATGATACATGTTCAGTTAGTTGTAGTGGACGAGTGAAATGTGGAAGACACAGAGCAGTTTTATTTGGATATTTTCTATTACACTTCACCGGCAAGCAATAACACATTCACCCGTTCAACCAAAATTTAAGTGTTGCCAGCAAATCCTTGATATAAGAGACAAACAGATACGCGTTTTGTGCACAGGTGTAATGTATGTAAAAAAAATTAATAATACATATATATGTTTAACCTGGGTGTCTCGATTACGAGTTAAGGAGGTAGTTCCGTCCTTTCAAACAGCCACTAGGAAATAATAAAGGAATAAAGCATATATAAGATGTACATATAAACAGATGTAAACGGTCTGTCATTTCCCGCTTGGCTAAGCCACCGTGAGAGAGATTCCTATAGATTTTCTCATATTTTTTTTGGTGAACACGTGGCAGACGAGGGAGGGACCCCTTACAGGCTATATATATGTGATCGGTCCGAGTTCCTGGTATTGTAAATTGAGATC